AATTCTTTTCTGTGAGGCACGACAAGAACCTGGTGACCCTGGGTTAGTCTTAGGACTGACTTTCCTTTCCTTGCAAAGAGCAATTTCTCATCCCAACCTGAGTCCGTGGCTGCCTGAGAAATTGGGTGGCAGAGTCAATTCCTGTGCCGAGAAGACCATGTAGACATCAGGTGTGGCTTGATGGCCACCTTGTGGGGCTGGCAGGGCTCTGGCCCTTGCTGCACAGGAACTTGTCGCAGAATTTATCATTCTTGGCCTTCCCAGATGGCTTGGGGGTGACAGAGGTGGATCAGCAGAAAGTGGCTGCCTCCCTCCCCTCCACCTCACATAAGCCACCCATGGAGGCCACCTATTTTACAGTCACAGAACCCAAGATACCACCATCACCACTGCTGTGAGGATAGCAAGATCAATAAGAGAAGGAGCATACATTTTTGTTTGCTTGTCTGTTTGCTTTTGGCGGGGGGGGGGGGGCGTCCTGGGGGCGTCCTGGAGTCTCACTCAGTTGTTCTCAAAGCTTACTCCTGGATCTGTGTTGAGGGATCACTCCTGGTGGTACGTATACATAGATACATAGTGCTCGGGATCAAACCTGGGTTGGCTACATGCAAGACAAATGCTTTTTCTGCTGTACAATCTCTCTTTGGCCCAAGAGTACTTTTTTTTAAACGAATGATCACACCTGGGTTCATGCTTCGTCATCAGAGGTGACAATAGGGAGGTTACAATGCTGATGGACTTGGTGGTACTAATCTGTAAAACGGGTACACTATTGAGTCTTATTTCATAGGGTTGCTATGAAGATTTAATGAGATGTTATAAAGTGAAATCATTAGCAAGTCAGGTCATAGTCTGTGGTTTAGTGATTAGGGCACAGATTCTGGAGTCAGAATAGCCTGAATCATGCCCCTTCACATCCTAGCCACGTGGCCTGAGGCTACTTGTTCTTTGTGCCTCATTTGTATCATCTATAAAATGCAAATAACAACTCTCTACGTCATAAGTTTGTGGATGAAGTGAGTTGGCTCATTTAAAATATTTAGAATTACACCAAGCACATGATTAAACATCCAATAATGTGAGCTGCTATTGCATTACCATTGGTAATGCCAGGATCTCCGCGGGTGCAAGCTCCTTTGGAGGGCAGTGTTAAGAAACTTCTGTAAGGCTCCCATGTGGTGGTGGTATAAGCAGTGACTGTCCCTTCCTGACTCACTCTCTGTGAGCATGATGGATGATTTTGTTTTCCCAAGAACAAGGACAGCACACTCTCAGTATTAAACAGATTGGGCAGTGCCAAAGCACGAAGCAGAGGCTGGAAAGCTGTAGGGGGCGTCCTGTTTTGCCAGATCTGTATTTGGAAAAATTCTGCCTACAGAGTATCAAGCTTTATGTCGAATTATTAGATTAAAAACTATAGATTTAGGGGCTGGAGTGGTAGCATAGTGGATAGGGCATTTGCCTTGCACACAGCCGACACGGGTTTGATTCCTTCGCCCCTCTCAGAGAACCCGGCAAGCTACCGAGAGTATCTCGCTCGCATGGCAAAGCCTGGCAAGCTACCCGTGACGTATTCAATATACCAAACACAGTAACAACAAGTCTCACAATGGAGACATTACTGGGCCCGCTCGAGCAAACTGATGAACAATGGGAGGACAGTACAGTATGTACATATTCCACAAGAGGCTACTAAATTTAAATTTATTAACTTTAAATAACATTAAAAATTCAGTTCATTACTGTTGATCACTTAAAATGTGACTAGTGCAACTGATGGCCTGACACTTTCATTTCATTTCATTTTAATTCAAATTGCACTAGTTACATGTGGCTTATGGTTATTCCTTTAGACTATGTGGATCCAAGGAATTTTTCTCTGCTTTATCAGTCATGCTTCAGGGATGCTTTCCCCAAGTCTTAGTGATGGAGGGGCTAGTTGCTTGGAATAAGGAACCAAAGGGAAAAAATCATAATGATAAATTCCCCACCTCCCTCTTGGCCTTCCCAGCGTCCCCCGTCCCGCACAGCTCCTGATTTCCTGAGTCATTGGGAAAGGACAATAAAATGAGATCAAACTAACTCAGAGACAGCTTTTCATAGAAAATGGCAGCACACCAATCTGCAAGGAGCCAGTTAGCATGTGGATTCCTGGGTCCCAGCTCTGTTATGTCGAACACAGAGGGGCAGCGGGGAAGTCCCAGAGTTCACAGTTTCATCCCGCAGCCTCATGATTCTAATGCAGCTGCCTTAGCTTTGAGAAACTCTGCTTCAGGGGCTGAATTACATATTTATCTTTTGGCCTCTTAAATAATTATAGAACGCACATCTTTTGAGAATAGCACAAACTGGGCTGGAAGCCAGGCAGTCATCACTCTGCATGAATTGTTCGCTGCTCTGACATTAAGCAAGCTGCTTAGTCACAAGGCCTCATCCTTTTCATCTGAAACATGGGGGTAAAGATCCCTGCTGTCTATGCTTTGGGGCAGATGAGAACGAGATGTGAATTAGAGAGGGATAAAAAAAAATATTTTTTTTAAAGTACTGCCTAGCCAGCCAACGATTTAGAGACATATTTAAATAGATTTCATATTTTTAAAGATCACATTTTTAACTTCTCTGAAAAGACAGGGAGATCTCACAGCATGGTGCTCCTATGACTTTAGCAGCTTGATGCGATTGGTGCATTGCTCTAGGGTCAAATGTGCAGGCTCAATCCTCGTTCTACCTCATAAAAGCTGAATTATTTTATTTTATTTTATTTTGCTTTTTGAGTTACACCCAGCGGTGCTCAGGGGTTACCCCTGGCTCTGCACTCAGGAATTTCTCTTGGCAGTGCTCGGGGGACCATATAGGATGCTGGGAATCAAACCCAGGTTGGTCGCGTGCAAGGCAAATGCCCTACCCGCTGTGCTATTGCTCCAGCCCCAAGCTGAATGATTTTAGATAAATCTCTCGACTTCTACGTGCCTCAGCTTCTTCCACTCTGAAGTCAGAATTTTAAAAGCACATTTCTCCTGGGTGTGGTTATGGTTAGAAAGGAATCCTACTCCACTGTTAGTGGGAATGTTGTCTGGTTCAGCCTTTATGGAAAGGTATATGGCGATCAACCTAAAATTTAGGAATGAAACTACCATACGACCCAGTGATACCACTTCTTGGCATCAATTCCCAAATAGAAAACCATTAATTTGAAAGGATATATGCAAACCTATATTCATTGCTGTACTTAGTACAATAGCTAAGATATGGAAACAACCCAAATGCCCAACTATCAATGAATGGGTCAAGAAGTTGTGGATACACAAAGGAATACTATGCAGTTCTAAGAAAGGACAAAAGCATGCAGTTAGCTGCAACATGGATGGAAGTAGAGGAAATCATGCTGAGTGAAGTCAGTCAGAAGGACAGGGATAGATACAGAATGAACTGGGAATTAAAAATACAAATGTGGGAATTAAAAAATACATATGTGGGAATTAAAAATACAAAGCACAGAAGTAACAGAGGTCTAAAGTCAACATAATGGGAGGAATGAAACATATAACTGAGTCCCTAGTGGGGGATGAAAGGGAATGGTATAGTGGTCCTTAGGAGATGGAGGTAGGTATATTGAAGGGCATGTTGTTAGATTTATATGCATGAGAAACAAGTATTAACAGTATTATAAACCACAGAATCTCAATCTTTTATCTTAAATGTTCTCTTACACACACACAAAAATAAAAGCACATCACTCTTGTAGGGTTATGAGGATTTGACGATATATATAAAATGCATAGGACAATATTTGCATATGGCAAAAGCTAAATCACTGTTAATCTAACAAAATAAATATCTCCAAATGTGGCGACAATCATCCAGAGCTGGGCCTTGGAAGTCCCTTGAGGTGGGAATGCCTGCCATCTTCCTGCCAATACATATATTTTATGTTTTTTACAACATAGTAAAACCCTCACAAAACGCCAAGGTTCAGCCATGGATGGGTGCTTTGGTGTCTTGAGCAAACCTGCTTTGGTGAAAACTGCCTCCAGGTCACAGCCCTTCCTTTGCCCCAAGGTTCCTTGGACAGACAGGACCTGCCTTACCTCATGCCCACATGGACAACCTTGACCCCAAGTGGCTTTCCAGCAGTCCGATGCTAGTGTCGGGCTGAAATGTTGGTGGAAAATGTCATCCCTTTGATAAGTGCCTCGAGGCTACTCATCTTCCAGAGTTCCAAGCAAATGGTGTCAGTCTGAACCTAATCTCCAGTAGACATCAAGTTTCATTTTCTCCTCCCACTTCCTCTTCCTCCCCCCCCCAACACCTGTAGGGGTGGAGCAATAGCACAGCACGTAGGGCATTTGCCTTGCACTCGGCTGACCTGGCCGACCTGGGTTCGATTCTTCCACCCCTCTCAGAGAGCCCAGCAAGCTACTGAGAGTATTGCACCTGCACGGCAAAGCCTGGCAAGCGACCCGTGACGTATTCGATATGCCAAGCACAGTAACAAGTCTCACAATGGAGACATTACTGGGCCTGCTCGAGCAAAAATAGATGAATGGAAGGACAGTGCTACAGTGCCATACCTGTGGGTGCTCAGGGTGTATTCCTGCTTCTTCACTCAGGGATCACTGCCTATGGACTTGACGGACCCACAGGTGTTGGAGTGTTGGGGATTGAACCCGGGTTAGCAATGTACAAATTAAGTATAACGTCACTGTAATATCCCTACAACTCCAGTGGCTTTCCCCTTTTCTGTCGCTCCCCTTTGTTCCCTCCCACCCTCAAGAGGTCAGAGGCATCCTAGTTTTTGCTTATGAGGAATCTCATCCCAGGTTTGCTTATGAGGACTCTCACCCAAGATCCAAGTCACACTGAAAACATCCTATTGGAAGAAGGAACAGGAAGGGAACACCAAAATCCTGAAGACCAGCGTTGGGCAGCATTCCTCACTCCCATCCCACTCCCCAAGAAATGCCCCCCTTGCTGCATCTTCCAGATGGGTAGAATCCTACCTGTTGCGTTGGACAGGGCCAGCGACTCCATGGAGCCCCGAGGGGTCTGCTCTGTGGGTGTCATGTCCTCTGTGTATTTCAGGGAACTGATAGGATGACGGGTCCGACATTGCTGAGCAGGCAGGCCCCCTTCCTCTTCCTCCTCTTCCTCATATTTAGGGACTTGGATGCTTCCTCGGGTCTCACTGAAGCTCTGACTAGACATATCACTGTAGCTCTCCTGGGACCGCATCCTTCCAGGGTAGTAGTCCTCCCGGCACTCCTTAATGAAGCTGCCCCCATGCCCCTTCATGGCCAGCGAAGAGCTCCTTTTGGGGTTGCCGAAGTGCTTGGCCCACATGTCAGGCTGAGCCCCAGCCCCCTGCCCTCCTGGGCTGTAAGAAGTTCTGATGTTGCACTGGCTGAGGAGCTGCAAAGGACTCTGGGATTGGTTCTGCTCCATCTTATTCCCATAATGGTAGGGCTCATCCCGGCTCCTCCAGATGGGGTCTCGGTTGAGGCTGGGTGTCTGGCTGGACAGGCTGAGCAGGTCCATTTGCAGCGACAAGGGGTCCACGTCTGCGGACAGCCGGTTGGAGGTGACCTGCAGCTGACTGTGCTGGTTCAGCATGGGCTCCTCCGCCTTGCCCTTGTTCTTGCCGATTTTGGCGCTGCGCCGGGACTCTTTGGCCCTGGCATTCTGGAAGGCTGAATCCGATGAGTCTGAGCCGTTGGGGTCCTCCCCAGCACTGCAGGCCCTCGAACAGAATATCTGGCCCTGCTTGGGGAGGAAAGGCCGTCCCAGGAGGGACTTTTTGCAGTGAGCACAGCAGAAACAGGATTCAGTGGCGTGCCAGTGTTGGCCATCATAGGTCATTTGACCCTGGTCAATCCCTAGGGAAAGAAGGGATACGAAGCAGATAAGCAGTTTAAATCTGGGTATTAGAATATGAAACACACAGCACCATAGTTTGACTCAGCATTCCAGAAACAGCAGAATAAATAGTCAAGAAATCAATCAGTGATCAGGATCCTACATCAATGTGATTCGTGACTTACTGGGAGAGGCATCCCAGTACTAGTCAACTTTTTGTTTAGTGTCACTTGGCAGTACTCAGGGGCTACTCCTGAGGGCTGGTGCTCAGATGCCGGGAATCAAACCCAAAGCTCTCACATGTACAGTATGTTCTCCAGTACTGTGAGCTATCTCCCTGGCCCTGTCAATGCCTTCTTAATGCATCTGCTGAGTAGAGAGAAATTAGATTAAAATAGCCGGCCCATAAATCCTTCTGCCTAGGACACATTTCCCCCAAGCAGCAATAATGACACCAACAAATAATACAGCACCACTTTAAATGCTTTGAAAACAGGTAAACTCACTTAACCTCTCAGCTGAAGCTCCTCTTTAGTATTTTCATTTTCTCGGATGATAAAAAAAAATAAAAGAGGGAAGGTGGGCTAAATGACTTGCTTAATGAAATGATGAAACTAGGAATCTGATGTGAAGCTCTACCAGGACACGATCATTAAGGTTTGGGGTGTTTCCAGAAGCCTGGCCTGGTGCATTACAGGGGCTTTCCTATGAAAGAGGAAAAGCATCCCCATCGTCCATATACGGTAAAGGATGATTCCTATAGAAACTCAGTTCCAAAGGAAAAAAAAATAACTGTTGAGAAAAGAAAAACCTGCTTTGGAGAAGGAACAACCTTCAGCAGGGTTTGTGAAAGACATAGGCCCTGGGTGAGCAAGCATTTGCCTCACCTGACTTCTTTGGGAAAGGAAGAGACGCATTTCCTCCCACGCCTGAGCAGGACCTGGTTTACACAGTCGTGTTTCACCTGCATATTACCAGAACTGCTCACGGTTCCAGCTGTCCTTGCTTCTTAGTTTCTATTCTGGCCGCTCCTAGTAATAAGCTCCTGGTGGGATTCCCTATCTCTGCCTCTCAGGGTAGGAAAAGGTAGGTGGGGCTGAAGCCATGCCTGGAGCCAGCAAGGGCTCCTTAGAAACCCTATCTCTGTGTTCAAGGGTTGACACATGACCTGTACTTGGTCAATGGAAGTGTTACCTGGGATTTTTGCTAAGGCAGTCATCCTGGAAGACTACTTTCCATTATAATATTTCTTTGAGGCCACAACTGGCTATTATGTTAGGACTTTCTTCTGACTCTGAGCTCCGGGATCACTCCTGGGGTACTTGGGAAACCCTACGTGATGCTGGGGAGCAAACCTAGAATGGCCACACACAAGGCAAATCCTATCACCATTAGCCTAACTTTGGCCTTCAAGGAAGGGTCTCTTTGGTTTTTTCAATTTATTTTTGTTTTGGAGTAATACTGAATGGGGCCTAGGCTCTGCACTCAGGGATCACTCCTGGTGGGCTTGGGGCCCTCTAGGGTGCCAGATTCGAATCTAGGTTGGCTGTGTGCAAAGCAAATTCCCTCTTCACTGTACAATTGCTCTAGCCCAAGGGCTCTTTTGATAGCAGTTCAGCATTGGCAGGATGGAGACGAGAGGCCTCAGGGCCTGCTCCATGGAGAGTCTGCTGAAAAAGTCACAGGCACTCAGCGATGACTTTGTCTGGAAGGACGCCTGAGGTCTGATGCTAGTTCTATCTAATGTGACCCCTGGAATCTAGTAGAGAATTCTAAGTCGCAGTTTCTAGGCATACCTTCTCAAGTCATGTTTAGAGAGTCCATGGACAAGAAATGGGGGCACACTCTAGGCAAAACGAAAGGCTGGGAACAGAGGGAAACAGGAGAAGGTCCTCTCTTGTGGCTCCCGGGGCCAGTCCTATCTGCCTTTAGCCACCCTTGCCTTGCACACAGCGGAGAACAGATGCCAAGGAAAGCTTGGGGAACAGATGCCAAGGGAAACCCGTGCTGCTCAGCCCCTCCCCCATATGAAAGGAGCCATGTTTCTTTGGGAGAATGACCTTGGGGATCTATAAGGGCTTTTTATTTAAATAGTCGACTGAATAGACTACAGAAAAGTCTGTGGTGACTGCAAGTAAGGCTGGAGACCCAGAGAAATTCCGCCTTGGTCTCCTTCCAACTGGGTGTACAAATGATTACAGCCTGTCTGCTTTGGTTCAAATGTTGCTTCTGCTGCGGACTGAGCCACACAGCCTTTACCTTCAGCAAAGAGACCCGTATCCGGTCTCCTTTGTAAAAAAGGGGATGCTAAGAGTTACTTGTAGGGTGTGGTGAGGATCAGCTGATCTACTGTGCAGGGACTGCTGAGACAGCCTGCTAGTTGCTCCTGTTCCTGTATTTTCATTAGAAGCCCATGCCCTGCTCCCTCTTTGCTCTGAGGCTGCTGCCTGGATGCAGGCCAAGCAAGAATTCTGAGGCTGGCTGGGTCTTTCTTCCTTTTCTCTTTTCCGCTTGTCCCCTGCTTTCCTGAGAGTCCCTGCTGGGAGCTGGGCTGTCCGGCTTCTTCCTCAGACAGCAGCTCCAGCGATGCTCTCTCTCACACCCGTCGCTACAGCTCCAGGCACACAGGCCCATCCCGGCCTCTGCCAGCTACTTCTGCAAGGAAACTGGCTCTGCCATGCTGTAGCAGCAGGGCCCTCGCTCAGGAGGGGGCGAGGCCTCACCGAAGGCCAGGCTGGGATGTGGAACGCAGAGGGGGAGGCGTTACAAAGTGGCCCGGCAAGCAGCTGAACGTGGTCTCTGATAAACATCACCCATGTCAGATGGTCCTCTGAACTGCTCCTGAACTCTGAACATCTGGAAAAGGGCTCTGCCATTCCACATCTAAGCGTTCCTTTTTTTTTTTTTAATTCCCACTCTAAGCCCTTTGAGCACTTCTCTGAGGGTGTATGCAGCTATTGCTGCTACAGCCTCGATCTGTTTATAGGATTGTTTACTCTGCTTCACGCAGCAAAAGTACTGTTGCCCTAGCAACGGCTGCCTGATGCAGGGTCTGCTCTGAGTGGCTGTGTAAGTAGGGAATGTTTGTATAATATGGTCAGAGGGAAGCACCCAGAGACTATGGACTGCACACTCTTTCACTGTTGCAGGAAAATGACATTTGCCAGAAAGTTGGACCTAGAACAACAGCAACAAAATCAGGTATGGCATTTTAACTACGGCAGTGATAAGAATGCAGGCTGAAGAAGTCCCCTATTCTGGTGAAACATGGATGTCTTTTTATGGACTGAAAAGAGGGAGAGAAGAAAATGCCAAAGCCTCCAATAGGCAGAGGAAAGAAAGAGTAGAAAACAGCTGCCTTCATGCTCAGGGAACAGCTTTTCTCTCTTCCAGGCCACTGGGTAAAAATTCGAAGGGTTGCTGGAAAGGTTTTTCAGTTTCTATGGAAAGGAAGAGAAGAAAGAGAAACCCGAGTAGAAGGGAGTACCATTGCTTTAGTGAAATTTTCTGTACACTGCAAACCTTCACACCCGGGCTAGCACCTTCTTGCAGAATTCGCAGCGAGCAGCGTGGGGGTAATTGGCACCCTTTTCTCAAAATACCTCTCACCTCTGCCTCCCAGGTCCTGCCACCTGTCTAAACCAAGCTCTTTCTAGCTCTTTAGCATCCGAGGAATTGGCCTAACTCTTTTTCTTGTGAGAAGTAAAAACAGTTGGGTAGCTGGTTGAGTGTGAGGCTCCCGAGGCCGTGAGCATGAGGACTTTTGGGGCCAAGAGAGAAAGAATCTACTCACCACCCAGGCTCTCCTCAGGGAATGTTATTGGGCAACCAAGGGCATGGCAATAGGCAACGTAGGTTTGGCACAGGCTCTGGCTGTGAAACACCTCTGGACAGCAGATCTCAGTCTACGGGAAGGATAACCCTATGACAAAGGCCCCTCCAGGGAGCACACAGCAGGCGCCTTGTCCCCAGAGCACACAAACTTCTCAGATGACCAGTCTGTGGCTTGAATATATCACTTCTGATATAAATGAACTAAGGAGACAAAGGCACTTCTTTTTTTCCCTGATAAAATCAAAGCAAATGGGCTTCCAGACTGGTTATCTCCACATCTCCCTCCTATAGGTAAGAAGTTGGCAGCTTCTGAGCAGATTTCTTGGAATTGCACTAGCCACAGGAAAACCAGGCGGCTAGTCTCACAGACGGTCCTCCACTGCCAACTGCTTTCCTCTCCTCCTTTAAAGGGCAGCTTATTCTCGAGGGGCCAGAACAGGCAAGTTGAATAAAGAAGCCACGGATGCAGCAAGATTTGGAAGAGCACTGAAGGGCTGAGTGATCATTTATTTGCAAAGAGAAAAAGATTTTCACCATCTCAGACCCACTGCTTCTTTGGGGGGGAGTTTACAGCTTAAGAACTATTTGAGATTCTTTCGCTTTGCTTTTGGCAGGGTTCAACTTTTGCTGAATTTTTCTTTCTTTTCTCTCTCTCTCTCTCTTTTGTTTTTTGCTTTTTGACATGCAGAAGCCATTTGGTTTTCTTAACCATCCCTTCCAACAGAACTGACTGCCCTGGCTCCTCCCTCTGCTGACCCTTGAGTTTTTCCAAGGAGACTGTGGAAGCCATTTGTTTACATTTTCCCCTTCATATTTCCCTTCCAAGAACTTTCCTTCCTCCTGGGTAGTGGGGCCTCCTAAAAGGCAGGGCCGAGGATTCAGGCTAACTGAAAGGAGAAGGCTATTCTTTTCTTTCCAAGATGAAATGCAGCCAACCAGGGCCTGTCCAGCTCCTATTTGGAAGACCTGGCTTGTACACTGGAAGGAAGACAAACTCCTTTAGAGAATGTAAATCCTGAGAACATATAAAACTGAAAGAGAAGGCAGGCATATCTTAGTTATTATGCACGGAAAGCTTGCTTGCAAATATGCCACAAGGAAGCAATCTAAATGGAGAGGCAGAGAAAAAAAAAACCCAAAAAACAAAAAAACCCCAAGACTTTGCTTGAACCCTTGATGCATCCCTCGCTGAAGCCAGAAAATTCTTTGATTTTTCCACATCAGACAAGTTGAGAAATTCCCCCTTCCATTTTGCAGAGGGGGAATTTGGTTTCTATCACCGGCAGAGAGAAGCTAACTACACCAGACACACAGGAGTGGCAATCACAGCAGCTACAAGTACACATTGAATGTTGTTGTCTCACCTATGTGTTGAGCGCAAGTGTCGCAATATTCCGCATACAAGGACTCAAAGCAATGGCAACAGTAGGGTCTTCCCTCCTTCATGATGTAACGCTGGCCACCCAGCACCGTCTCACACTCGAAGCAGCAAAAGTGTTTCATGTGCCAATGCCGGCCCTCGGCTTCTGTGCATTCATCTGCAAAGATGATCTGAAGATGGGAGAGCCAAAAGGTCAGTGCTGGAGACCCACTCGTGGGAAAGCACTTCAGCAGAGGAAGCTCTGGGTATTCCAAAATAGAAGGTCCCATTCACATCACGGGTCATAAATGTTATCAATGTGGATATTATACTATATATGTATGTATTATATTATATGATATGTAGATTTAGGGGCTGGAGCAATAGCACAGCAGGTAGGGTGTTTGCCTTGCATGTGGCCAACTCGAGTTCGATTCCTCTGTCCCTCTCAGAGAGCCTGGCAAGCTACTGAGAGCATCCCGCCCGCATGGCAGAGTCTGGCAAGCTCCCTGTGGTGTATTTGATACGCCAAAAACAGTAACAAGTCTCACAATGGCGACATTACTGGTGCCCCTCGAACAAATCGATGAACAATGGGAGGACAGTGCTATAGTGCTATATATGTGTGTGTGTGTGTGTGTGTGTGTGTGTGTGCGTGTTCCAAATTAGTTTCCACAGTTGGAAATGCCTAAAGCACAATTTAATGTTTCTGGCTTGGCCAGCAATTAATTTAACCACCTTTTAATAAGAGAAAGTATTTTTTTGCCCTGCAACACGTAAATCAGGACTGAGAACTGACAGCTAATGGGCACGTTTGACACACATATCTGTTTTACTTGGCTTATCTATGGGATTTTTCAAAAATGGGAAATGTCACACAAACATCTGGAATTCTGTTTTTTTTTTTTTTAAATATTTGGCAACACATTCCTGCAGAGCAACAATGAGTGAGGGCTGAGAAAAGTACTGCTTTTAGGTGAGGGATGCCTTCAATCGGTCTTACGCTTCATCATTTACTCTGGCCTTAAAATGAAGCAGTTCCATTTGCAAGACATCTCAGAAGCACTTGTGTTTTTACCTCCTTATATAATTTCCCAAATTTTCTAGTATGGTATAAATGGCAAAAATCAAGACAATGTAGAAATGTATGAGAGCAGACAGACATAGAGCTTAATAGATTAAAATGGAGGGACTAGAAATAAACACAGACATGTAAGATCAATTGATTATTGACATTCAGTGTCTTTATTGACATAAAGACTCTGTCTCTTTGACAAAAGGGGTGGGGACAACTGGCTCAAGCAAAAATGCATCTCAACTCTGACCTCACACTTTATACAAAAACTAACTCAAGATCAAAGATGGAAATGGAAGAATAAAACCTGTAAAATGTTTAAACAAAAATACAGGAATAAACGTACATAAATTTGGGGTAGGTAACTAGGCAATGACTTACATTTGACACCGAAATGCATAAGCAACCAAAAAATAAATTAGATTATATCAAAATAAAAATTCACATACTCCAAAGGACAACACCAGGAAAGTGAAGTTAGGGTCAGAGAGATAGTATAATGAGTAGGGCACATGTCTTCCATGTGGCTGACTGGAGTTTAATTCCCATCACTCCATATGGTTCCTTGAGCCCACCGGGAGAGATCCCCAGGTACAGGAGAGGAGTAAATCCTGAGCATTGCAAGGTGTGGCCCGAAAAACAAACAAACAAACAAACAAACTATAAAACCAAGCCAAAACAAAAAAGAAAAAGTGAAGTTATAGAAAGATCGAAAACAATGCCAGAGCATGTTTCTGAAAAGGAACTAGTATCCAGAACATATGAATAACCCTTACCACAGCACACTAAAAAGAAAATAAACTTAGAAGGCAAAACAAATAGTCATTACTCCCAAAATAAAAAAGATAAAGAAATAGCCATTAAGCACATGATACTTAGCCATTAAAAAGGCAAATTTGTTATAATTTCACACCAACTAAGATGAATCCTTTGAAAAAGACAATAATAAATGTCGAAAAAAATGTTGAAAAATTGGAATAGCCATTCACTGGCAGCGAGAATGCCAAATCATATAATTGTGTTGGGAATCAGGTTAGTATTTTCTCATTGTTAAACAGAGAATTATCATATGACCCCTCAATTATACTTCTAGGTATGCCCAAAAAAATGTAGTTGTTGTCCACATAAAAGCTGTAAGGGCTGGAAACATAGCTCATTGGGCTAAGTGTACATTTTTACATGTAAGAGGCCTGGATTCCACCCATAGTACCACATGTGGAACAGTGGAACATCTGGAACACTGCTGGAAGTGAAACAGAGCTGAGAGCGGACCCAAGCCTCATTAGATATGACCGCAACACAAAAAAATAAAATCAACCAAACAAAAACTTGTACATGAATGCTCATGGAAATAAAAATGATCAGTAATATAATATTGTTTGATAAATGGATAAACAAGATCACATATGTATATCTGAATATTATTCAGCTATGAAAATGAATAGCACTGTAGCACTGTTCTCCCGTTGTTCATCGAGTCGCTTAAGCAGGCCCAGTAGTGTCTCCATGATGTGATGTATTTGATATGCCAAACACAGTAACAACAAGTCTCACAATGAAAATGAATAAATATTGATTTATGTTACAAGATGAGTTAGCTTTGAAAAAATAATGCTATGTGAGAAAAAAAAAACAGACATGAAAAGTGAGGTAGAGACTTAGTTCATTTAAAGGACATGTAAATGCAGAGACCGAATAGATTAATAGTCATCAGGGAAGAGGGGGAAGAGGAAGAAGAGAAGTGAGTGCTATTAGATACTAGTTTCTTTTCAGTTGATGAAAACGACCTCAAATTAGACAGTAGCCATGCTTTCACCACTCTGTGAATATACTAAAACTGGCCAAACTATAAGTTAGGGCCAAGGAGATGATTGATGGGCTAGAGAGCACGCAAGAACCCTGGCTTTGATCCCCAGCAATTCAGCACTGCTGGATATGCACCTCCAGAAAAAGAACTGTATCCTTAAAAAGGCAAATCAATGTTATGTGAATTATACCTCAATTCAAAACCATGTGAATTACACCTCAAAAAACCCATCGTATTCCTTTTGCCTTTAGAAAACAAAATCATATTGCAAACCTCCAGTTTCAGTCGGCTTTCTAACTGGGAACAGTACACTCAAATTTGAGAGCATAAGGTGGTAAGATCCAAATGGAATATCCCTTTTCCTTCTGCAGTTTTATTTGAACTTTACATACGTTGTGTGCAAATAAAAAAAAAAAAGCTATTTCTTTTTCTTCCCAATCCACCTGTTCAACTGTGTTTCAGGAAATGGAACTATTTTTAAGACAGGAGGGATAGGCCATGATCGAAGATTACTCCTTGGGATACAGGCTGAATCAAAAGATGCTTAATGCCTCACTCCTTTTTGTTTACGAGTCCCGAGCTAAATTCTGCAGTATGTGCCAACTGGGGAGCTCCTCAGCTACAGAAGCTGCCTTCCCACTAAGAGGCCCCAGAGACTGCCATGCTGAGTGGAGTGGGCCACAGTCCCAGACATTCTAGCAAATGTGGGGTGGGCGGGGTTGCTCTCCTCAAAGGGTTATAGTATGAAGATGAGTAGCCTATGACGTTCTTCCATGCTGGAGGCCCCAGGGCCTCCATTGGCTATGGCCCAGCCAAGGAGGGAGAAGAAGGTGTGAGCTCCAGAGAGAGTGCTCTGACCTCATCGCAGGCGGCACAGCGCGGCTTCAGACACTCGGCGTGGTGCCTGCCACAGTATATCTTCCCATCTTGGTAAAAGTAGATCAGATCCACGAGGAGCTCGTTGCAGACTGTGCATATGAAGCATGGCGGGTGCCAGCAAACACCGTGACCAGCGCGTGATGCAAATACAGCAATGTCTCCGCCGTTAATCTGGCCTCCGCACTATGAGGCAAACAGAGACATTAGTTATGGCACTGATGGCACTGACCCCGTTCAACTTCTCAGAGCCATGCATGAGTGATAAATGTCCATGACCACTATACTTTGTGTTCAAATCCTCACTGCTGGGTGGGGCAGCCTGCCTGCCTGCCACCCACGCTCCATTCCTAGAGCCCACAAGGCAGACCAAGAGAAAGTAACTGAGAAAATAAGACATCAAAAAGGTAAGAAGACAGAAAAACTCTCTTAGTATAGAATAGAAGAAGCTCTACAAACAGGAGAGAACATTACACTTCAAGGAGTTCCCTTATCTCTTAAGAAAGATACTCTACCAAAGGCACTGCCAAGATTTCCTCGGAGGGGCTGGAGTGATACCACTGTGGGTAGGGCATTTGCCTTGCATGTGGCCAACCCGTGTTCGATTCCCAACATCCCATCTGGTCCCCTGGGCACTGCCAGGAGTAATTTCTGAGTGCAGAGCCAGGAGTAACCCTGTGCATCACTGGGTATGGCCCAAAAAGAAAAAAAAATTCCTCTGAAAGGAGAAAGCAAGTAGGTTAGGAAGGGGGCTATGAGAGAAGGTGGGGTCTGCACTGTGGTATAGTGAGGGGTTCATAACAGTGGGCTCAACCTGTAACTGTTTTCTCTTGTATTCAGCCTACTTACACTGATACTGCTTTTCACAGTTTTGGCGGCAAACACACTGCTTTTGTGTGTGTGTGTGTGTGTGCGAGTTTTGTGCCACACCCAGCAGTGCTCAGGATGTACTCCTAGTTCTGTTCTCAGGGATCAGACCTGGGGGGATACGGTGCACCATATGTGGGGCCAGAAATTGAACCTAAGTCAGCTGTGTCCCAAGCAAGTGCCCTACCTGCTATACTATCTCTGGCCCCAGAAAGGCACTGCTTCTAAGTCCAGACTATGGGAAGGGCTTCTTCCTTCATTGTCCAAAATAACTCTCACTATGCGAAAAGAAACACAGCAAATCCCTGATGGCCAATGATTCTGTTTGGGGTTGGGATCAAGTGACTCTTGGGGGAGGAACTCTGAAACAGGGGTCGGCTGGGAGACTAGGGGGCCTGAGGAGGTCCTCTGTAACCACAAAGGCAGCCACATGGTCCTTAACCTAACAGTTCAGCTCTACAGAAAAATTCTCAAAATCAGAAATGCTACCTCCCAACTTTTCCCACACAATAGACTTCATGTGGGTTGTAAAACCCTTCATTGAAAACTGAGTAGGTTCTCATGGAATAGCCTCTGGTTACTCATTCACGCCAGCAATGGAAAAAAAGAGTATGTTACAGAAAACACCACCCCTCTTTTTTTTATAATAGAAGTAGACCCAAGGAATGTATATGGCCAATACATTAATGGAGGGACATTTTGACTCTGAGCAAAGCACTTGTGTTGAAGGAGAAGCTTCAAACCCAAAATGGTTAGACACATTCCAACTGCAGGAGCTAAGGGGGGGATTCTAAGAGCAAACACGAGGAAGAAAAACAAGGGATTTTCTCATTTTATCTTTTTAAAATTTATAGTTTAAATGGCTGCCTCATTTGGGGATGACTGGAGGCTACAATTGGCTGTTCTTTGGTTTCATTTTCTTGGGTTCCAGTACATCGACTCCTGTTTAGACACTGTTAGGTTTTGGTTGGCTTAAGTAGACTCCCAAGGCTTTAGAATCACCTCAGCATAACACTCTCCTAATTTACTACGTTAACAATACTGAATCCTGCTTAATCCGTACTATAATTCTAAGATGTTGGCATTTCCTAACCCATTTTTTGCAATTACAGAAGTTAGGAAAAGAAGCTGCTCAAGGTATCTGGCAGAAATGTAAGTTAAACTTCAGTCTTTCTGCCTCACGTTCTTGTCACTAGTTTCTCCTCCTCTCAGTATCTGCCCATAAAATGCACAAGCTTTCTTTTGCGAAGGTAGGCTGGTTCTGTGAGACAGATTAGAGATTGATGGGGGTTTCTAAACTGAGAATGCTAAAGCTCTTATCTTCACTAGTGAACACCAATAGGCTAAGGGTGGGGTTCTCCAGAGAGAAGACCCCAGTGATAAATCTCTGGTACTCTAGCTCGTCATTTTAAGAAGTGTCTCCTTTGTATTCACCTGATTACTCTCATTTTCTCTCTCTGAGATCTCAGAATGAGTGCCCATATAGCATGCACCCACCTCAGGCATGCACTCAGACTTTGACTATTGATCTGGTTATATATTTTCAGCACCAGAGTGGGTCCTTTTGGGGCTTAAGGAGTTCTAGAAAGGTTGTGAGTGGATCTGGGGGATGTGGGTAAGCTGAAGGGCTAGGAATATGAGGAAAACAAGAAACTTTCAGGACTGGAGAGGTAGGACAGTTAGAAACCCAGTGGCCTTCTTTTGCAATGTTGTAAGCATGCTACAGTGGAGTGAGAGGTAACAAACAAATAAATAAATAAATAAAATATAAAACACAAATAAATCCAGAATCTAATTCAGTGTGATCCTCAGAACACTATGGGGGGTGAGAACAGAGACTGGTGTCCTTTGTACTTTGTACTTTGCTAAGAAGACTCCAATCCAAGGAGATGATCATCTACCACCACTTCACCCCTTCACCTGGGATGATCCTATTAAAGAGACTAACTAACCCACAATCCAGGCAAGCTCCTTTCCTAAGAGACTCATTTAAAATCATGAAATATGAAACCATTATGTCAGTCCTCTACTCAGAGCTATCCAAGTGCTCCTAACTCCTTCCACGCATTCACAAGTCTCCACACTCTGTCACCCATAAACTGTCACTTTATCTAACACTCTCCCTTTACTCCTCTGTCCTGTCACACAGGCCAACTTTCTTTTGCTCCAACACAAGAGAAATGCTCCTGTTCCAGAGCCTTCAAGCTGGTTGCGTCCTCCCTCACTTTGCCCAAGATGTATGACTTATTTCCCCAGCTCCAGTATGCCTTTGCTTAGAAGCTACCTTCTAAGAGGACCTTGTCCAGCCACTTGACTGTTGGACTGTGAAAATTATGCATTTGTTTACACATAGATTTTTGTTTTTCAAAAACAGTGAAAAACATTTCTGGATCCATTGGTTCTGCACTCACAGTTTCAACCACTTCAAATATCCATTGGTTGTAACCAGTGAGGAGGAGCCTATGCATATGGTAGGTTGACTGTTAGGAGACTTGAACATCTGCAGATTTTGGTATCTGTGGGAATCCTGAAACCAATTCCCTGACATACCAACAGGTAACTCTAGTTCGTTCTTTCTTTCTTTCTTTCTTTCTTTCTTTCTTTCTTTCTTTCTTTCTTTCCTTCCTTCCTTCCTTCCTTCCTTCCTTCTTTCTTTCTCTCTCTCTTTCTTTCTCTCTCTCTTTCTTTCTTTTTTTTTTGAGAATCAACATCTACATTTGTGTTTCAGCCCCACTGGGATCAATGTCTCAATTCCTACATTTCATAGGTTAAAAGCACATAAAATTGAAACTTCTTCATAATTCTGGCACATCCTCCACCTCTCCTGCTATATATTCTCTACCTATTGTTTGACTTCTTTCATCAGACTCTAACTCCAAACAAGGGAAAGAACTGAGTGTTTAGGTCTTTCATTCGCTACAGTCTGCAAGATTTAGAGCAGTGCCTGGCACATAGTAGACATTCAGTAAAATAAATAAATGCCAGGTGGCTATTAGTGAAATGAGCTCATAATATTCCTCCCCACTTCCCTGAATCCATGCTCACCTGCTCACAAATTGCTCCTGTCATCGTGACTGGGAAGGGCCTGACGTTTCCTCGACCCAAGTTCTCACGCTTTCTCTGGCTGCTGAAGAGCTTCAGCTCCCTTTTCTCTTCCTCATCCAGGGAGTTGCAATAGCGGACCTGAGGGAAGGGCAAGGTACAGAAGTTAGCCATAGGGATTCCGAAGCCCATTGCTTGGAATTTTCTTACCGAGCATATTCCCATTTGGGTTTAGAGCCCTGGTCTGTACTTAATCGGGGCTACTGAAGGTGAGTCTCAACCTAGGATTGCCAGGATTGTTGATGGTAAAAAGAGCTTACTAAACAAAGACTCCTAAATTGTGTAACACTTCCTCATCTTTACTATCCCACACTGTTCAAGGTCTAAATCACCGAGGATGTCTGATATTTCAAAAGCCCAGATGTGAGGTTGTTTTTACTTGATTCAAATTTATTGTGGGGGTCCTGAAATTTTTTATTTCTAGATGCCCAAGTGATCTTTGACCTCGAAGCATGGCTCCAAGCCAAGGAACCAGATTAGTTGTCAACGTTTGCCTCATAGCACCTGCTTTTCCACCTCATTCTGGGATAAGGAGAAAACAAAGGAGATTGAGGAGTTGGCCCAGAAGTATTTATGTTGCTCCACAGAAGTACCTATAAGCTTATCTGTGTGCAGGTGGGAAGTTGTTACCTGCTGGGATTATGTGTCAATCCACATATGAAAGTTTCCCTCTAGCTAAATACAGAAGTTCCCAGAATTAAAGGAGGAACATGGAAGATATTAAAATATGGAACATGGAGGGCGGGATCCACAGATTCCGAAGGAAAAAAAAAAAAGGTTCCAAAAAGAGCCAAGATCATCGGGAAGCCCCAGATGGGGTAGGTACCGCATCCCGCCTCCCCCAGATGGAATCCCGGTGACCAGAAGGCTCTACAACCACAGCTCGAGTATGCGGGAACTAGGACTTTTCCTCAAAACTGCGCGGCCGCTTATGTGGCTGTGCGACATCTCTCTATATACAAAGTGATCCATGGGAAGTAAACCACCCAACGTTTCTCTCTGAAAATCATAGTTAAGTTTGGAGCACGGCCATAGCCCCAGAAACACAAGGACTTAATGCATAACCCAGCAGCTTGGAGCAGAAAAGTGAATGGGCTATGTGTTAATCCAGGCCATCATGACTGTCCGGAGGGGAAAGGGTGTTGCCCCATTCGCCCTCTCCTCTCTGGAAAGAAAGATGGCGGCCACATGGGAGCCTTGTGGACAGCAGGTATGAGCCGGGGGTGTGGGGGCGACTAAAACCTCATGGGAAGGGGGTCGTTTCGGTCCGTCCTTCACGCCCTACCGAGGTCACCAGTTGCCTCCCACGAGCGGCTCTCCAGCACGGCCACGACCCCAGAAGCACAAGGACTTAATGCAGAACCCGACAGCTTGGAGCAGAAAAGTGAACGGACTATGCGTTAATCCAGGCCATCAGGTCTGTCCGGAGGGGAAAGGGTGTTGCCCCAGTCGCCTTCTCCTCTCTGGAAAGAAAGATGGCGGCCACATGGGAGCCTTGTGGACAGCAGGTATGAGCCGGGGGTGTGGGGGAGACTAAAACCTCATGGGAAAGGGGGCGTTCCGGTCCGTCCTTCACGCCCTACCGAGGTCACCAGTTGCTCCCCGCGAGCGGCTCTCCAGCACGGCCACGGCCCCAGAAGCACAAGGACTTAATGCAGAACCCAGAAGCTTGGAGCAGAAAAGTGAATGGACTATGCGTTAATCCAGGCCATCATGTCTGCCCGGAGGGGAAAGGGTGTTGGTTCCTTCCACCCTCCTCCCTCTGGAAAGAAAGATGGCGGCCACATGGGAGCCTTGTGGACAGCAGGTATGAGCCGGGGGACTGGGGGCGACTAAAACCTCATGGGAAGCGGGGCGTTTCGGTCCGCCCTTCACGCCCTACCGAGGCCACCAGTTGCCCACCACTAGCGGCTCTCCAGCACGGCCACGACTCCAGAGCACAGAAACCAATTTCTTAACTATCTGACTTTCAGTAGAAATACTTCCAGGGTCAATAAGTAAAATAGCAGAAATCCAAAACCAACATATAATTCTTGAACCCAGCTGTAGAAAGCAAATCACTTCACAATGCTTTTTCAGCATGTCTGATTTGGGGGGGGGGGGGTGGTAAACTCTAAATAACAGTGGTGAATCTTTTATTGAAACAATGAATCTAATCAAAGCAGTTAGAGTGTTAACTAGAATTCATCTGCCCCACAGGGACTGGGAGGGGTGGGGGGTGGGGTTTTATTGGGGTTCTTCATGGTAAAAAATAAGTTTTGGTAAAGGGAAATGTGTTTGATATTTGCATGACTGAGACCTAAACCTGAAAGCTTTGTAACCTTTCCCATGGTGATTCAATAAATAAATAAATTAAAAAAAATATGGTATTCCCTATTCTCTCCATTATTTATGCATACCTTCTGAATCATAAAATTTTTTTTACTTAATATCATTTTAGAGCTGATTTTCTTCAGCTTGAGCACATATATTAAAAATAAAAGTATAGTATAAATGGAAAAATCAGTATCACCTACAAAAGCTCAAAGTGACCAAAAAGCTAAATATAGTGAGGGAAAAAAAGGGCAAAAACCGAAAGTCTTCTAGCAGGCTATTTTTGCTTATGGGAGGATCCGAAAATGAAGATTCTGAATGCTGTTACTAAATGTGGAGATTAGTATGAATGAAATAGGTGAGATGTATTTGCAGCCTCAAACTGAAATTTTTCTCTTGATCACTCAAGGCCTTAATTATGATGAAAGACAGACATTTTAGAAGAATATTCAATGCCATGTCCATGTACCACCTAAAATTATGTTTCTTACCTTCTTTTCATTAATAGTTTTATTCCCACCTTCTGCCTTTAGAGAAATCTGAGCATCAAAAAGGTTTTAATTAGACTACTCAGAGGGTATGTCATACAGAGGTTAGAGGGACCTATTGAAGTAGATCCTAACTTATTAAATTGTGGTGACATTACCACATGGCATCATGCGACTAAATGAGAGTGGGAGGGCCAAAATGCTGTTAGGAATAAATCTATAATTTACTATCAGTAAATACCCATTTTCTATACCTGGAGTACAGTAAAAATTTCTTGGGCAAAAAGGAGTGATAAGAGAAAAAAATTTATGAAAACCTATATATATATACATACACATATATGTGCACACACACACATATATACATATATGCATGTATAATAACCAATATATGTGTACAAATATAAAAATATTCCTATTTGGGTTAAAAAGAGAATAATCAAATATTTATTTTAGAATCATTCTTTGTCCTCAAAAGGACCATGTCAAATGAGCTCAGTTTACCCACTGGGTCACATGTAAGGAATTCTCACCAGCAGGAAGAAAGAATTTGAATGGTCTTTTTTTCATGAAACCACAGTTAACAGTAAACAGAATAAACCATTATAAGCAGAGACGCTCAGACCATGGCTCTCTAATAAGCAAAAGGAGCCTTTCTTTTTTTAAAATAAGGCTCACAAGGATGTCCCCAGAGAAGTGCTGTGACCTGCACAGGCCAGAATATTCAGTTACACCACTGACATTTTATGGACATGCCTTTAAAAAAAGGCACACCCCTCCTGCTTGTAATAACCCGCATTTTTCAATTCCAAATTAGTTAACTGGGCATCAGGTTACAATGCTTGCTCTCAGCTTTAAAGGAGAAAACTGATTTATATTTGCTTTAGGAAGTCTGAAATTTTGAAATAAGGATCAGGAAAGGGCTCTTTCTAGGGAGTTGTTTCAGTCTTTAAGTTTTAGCTCTGCTTTCTCACATTGGTTTGGAGGTTCCTGAATTATCCTATTCTTTTTTTTTTTTTAATGTGGGTAAAGTCTAAAAATAGCACTTACTCATTTTCTCTGGGATACAGTTTGTGGGTGGGATGGTTGGTAGTACTTTGTTCTTTCAATTTGAAGGTGAAGGACAGAATTGGGTTTTCAACAGTAAATTTAATATAGTACATACAATACTGATTTATAATCATGCACACCCAAAGCTTATGTTACAATACAATGTCACTTTAGTTTAAAAGCTTTTCTAAATCAGATTATATTTTTGTTTAAAATACTCAGTTACATGTTCTATAGTATTACTTTTTAAAATATATATATGCTTAAAATATTAATGTCTAATTTACCACTGCATAATGATATTGTAAGTGTGTCTTCAAATTTGTATGTCTGATCAATTTGACTTTAAGGACAAGAAGTGTGCCTGCTGCTATAAGTTGGGGTTCGTAAAAATACAGCCTGTAAACCATCTTTCCCGGAGTATAAGAAATAATCCTGGCAAATAGGACATTAAGCAACAAAAACATCAATGTTCTGAGCTTCAAGTCTGGACTCAAAATTTCTACAGCATCACACAGAAAACTGGAAAACTCATTTCATATGAAATGATGCTTTAAAAAAAAATCAAGAGATTACCCCCAATTTTTTCCATCCTTAAACTGGCCCAGGAAATCTCAGTCATCTCTTCAGGCAACCATCTTCTTCTTCAACTAAGGAAAACTGGACTCGAGATTTTTCATTTTAAAGTTATTAGTGACTTCCAAGTAGTTATAAGAACCAGACCCAGAGGTGAATCCTGTCCGTACAGAGATTCTGCTTTATGGTAAGTCTCTCTAGAAGGTGTCTAATGGTCCCTTGGGGCTCCAATTAAGGAAACTACCTCTAAAACAAATTGACAGAGCCTTGTTCTTGCGATCTCATCAATCACAGCATTCTGATTATGAAGAAGGTAATGGCTCACAGAAGGTTCTATAAGTCTTCATAAGTCCCCCTTACCTCATTGTCATGTGGTGGCAGTTGGTGTAAAAGCTGTTTGATTCGCAGTTTCTCGCCAGGACTGTTGACATAAGGAACTTTTTCTTCTGGAAGACAGCTATAGTACTGATGAACCTGGGGGGTGAAAACGTACAGTTCACCTACCATTACTCAAATCATTTGCCCTGTCCTACATCCTAGGAAGAGAATTCCCAGCATCTACTTGCCATTGTCCCCACCCTCATGAAACTCGACAGACAGCAAGTGCCTTTCTCATTACGAGCAGAGAAAATGAATCTGTAAAGGAAGCGTTGAGCACCTCAGCCACATCTTGGTGCTTTCCCTCGCTGCAAAGGAAAAAGCAAGCAAGCAAACTTTCCTAGAAAAGGAGAATCCAGCGAACGTGCTGGTGAAGCCAGAGGGGAAGGCTTTCTCAGCAGTCTCCCCCGAGAGCTGATTTTTACCATTGTCTGTCTCGGTTAGTCTCCAGCATGCTCAGAGCTTCCCTAGCCAAGGGGATGTGTCAGCGCCTGCCTGGGCACCGGAGTCCAAGCCCATCTTTGGCACTCGGGGAACTCCTGGGTCCCTCAGCCTCCACCTACATGAAAATACTCCAGGTTCTGAGCAATTTGTAAGGACTGACAGCAGCTCACAGCTGTCAAAAAAAGAGTCACTAAATCTGGGATATAGAGCGTGTAATTAAAAATCACCACTAACATGAGAATTTTTGCTCATCCTGGAATACTCCTGTTTACAACTGTTGGAACACATTCTTACACTTTCGGAGGCTCATTCAACCCTAACAATGACTTGGGAGAGCACCAAGTAGTGAGTTTTGACCAAGGAAAGAAAACAGAATTCTACCGTCGAGCTGCACATAAAACTAGGGGAAGGAAAAAAATGCTGAAATAGAAAGTTTTAGATGACACAAAAGAAGGAAGGAAGGAAGGAAGGAAGGAAAGAAAGAAAGAAAGAAAGAAAGAAAGAAAGAAAGAAAGAAAACCCAAACAAAAACAAAAATGCCACAAGCTTAAATGACATCATGGAAAATAATTTTCAGCTATCTCAGCATTATGATCAACTCTTGCAAAACAAGGCAATCATTCAACAAAACAGAAAAGACAGGAGTGCTGGGGGCTCAAAATTAACCATATCTGTCACATCCCATTCCCTTGAGTTTAGGGAGACTTGGACCACTTATACATTTTTGGGAATGCTGGGACAAAGAATTTTGGAAGCTCTGTCTACTTTGATCTTCAGAAACAAAATTCTAAGAATTAGAAGAAGGAGAAATGATTTTGAGATGATACAGGATTAAAAACACATGAGAAACTTTTATTATGGCAACAAATCAGAGTACCCATTCACCAATACCTGCATATCGCCCTCTTGATCCAATCTCCAGGGCCATTATAAACATTTCTTCCCAACATCTAATTCTCAAACTTTCTTCTTTGAATAACCTGGAGAGCTCTTAAAATTCCTACTGTCTTTCTAATATTCCTAATAACACAGTGGAGGGATAGACTACAACCATTACATCAGAAGCATCTCTGGGGGTCGGGGGCAGGGACCCAGGTGTTAATAGTTTTGAGTCTGTTCATGTGATTCCCATGTGAAATGGTTCCCACTTTGAAAATTACTGCCATAGATGGGCTGATTTTGGGAAGGAAGTCTCCACAACCATTTGCTAGAGCTACAGGGCAGGCAGCCTGGGATGGAAGAAATGTCTCCAGGTTTTGACATCAACCCACAGGTTATTTGCATTGTCTCCGAGAAGAAATAGAGCCCAGCTCAAGAGTTAGGGACTGGCTGCTAGGGAGAATCCATGCATATATGACCCCCGAGGAAGCAAGCTCTACCTCTGGGATTTGGACAACAAGCTTTTTATTCCAAGTCAAGGATTGCTCATATGAAGGCCTTGTTGAAATACACTTTGCAATGACCACAATTCCCATTAGAGTTATCAAAACATTAGGAACAAATGCTAATGTGAACTGAATTATGGTGAATTAATTGTTATTAAAAGTCCAATTTGGGCTCAACTGATCATCTTTCCACTGCCCTCGTTACTCACACATCTATGCTTCACTAACTGCAGACAGAGAAGTCCCTGAGAGGCCTCACTCTTAGCTGACACCTGAAGTCAAGCCCTCTGACACTGCTGAGGCTGACCCAGCTGGAAATGTACTCTGCACCTTCTGCGGTTCAGCCTGGTTGATCTGATTCTTCTTCACGCCCACCCTACCCTCCACTCCCCGCAGAACCCCGACAAGACTCTGTCATTTTCCATTTCTGTATTCCCCAGCAAATGATATAAGCTCTCAGAATACTCATCATAAGAAGCAAATGATATAACCTTTCAGAATACTCATAAGATCGTAGCAATGAAATGGAAAAATATGAATATGTAGCGATACTTTGTAATCTTCCATTTTAAACATATAGAGCAATTGTTGGCTATACGGTGAGACAGGCAGTCGTCACCTATGCAAAAAAGTGGCAAGGAATAAATGAAAAATGCTGCAAGCAATATAATGCTTGCTTACTTGATTTCAAGGTGTGTGTGTGTGTGTGTGTGTGTGTGTGTGTGTGTGTGTGTGTGCAGGGGTGGGGGGGCAGAAAAATAATTTAAAAGGTGTGGTGTTTATTTAGAAATCCAACAGCAGAGAAGTTATCTTAAGAGGAAGTCATCTGTCTTGGGAAGCCACTGATAATAGATTTTTTTTTTTTATCTTTCCAAGCCTCGTGGGCTGCAAGATCGGTTCAGTTCTTGGTCCCTGCAGACTTGTTTCTCACCATTTCAAAGTTTAACATTTCCCACAGTACTTGAATAGATGGGCTGGAGCGATAGCATAGCGGTAGGGCGTTTGCCTTGCACGCAGCCAACATGGCCAACCCGAGTTCGATTCCTCCGCTCCTCTCGGAGAGCCCGGCAAGCTACTGAGAGTATCTCGCCCACATGGCAGAGCCTGGCAAGCTCCCCGTGGTGTATTCGATATGCCAGACACAGTAACAACAAAGTCTCCAATGGAGACGTTACTGGGCCCGCTCGAGCAAATCGATGAACAACGGGAGGGCCTTTACTTACTTACTTTTACTTACTTGAATAGATACCCCTCTGTTCAAAAACCATCTGAGGTTGACAATCTCCAGTTCCCCAAAAAGGGAGCCTGATCATCGCGATTTGGAGCAACATTCACTGGCAAAGATTGGATTGGGTAAGTTCCTCATGGTTATAAGACTGGATGATGAAGGATGAACGCATGGCATGGGCTAGACTATGGTGAGGGGAGCTGTGCTGAATAGCTCTAAGATACTTATGAATTAAACACCCTGTTATGTGGAGATTTATCTTATGGCCTCTGGATTCTAAGTTGACTGAGGTGGTAACTATCTTTAAAAACACATCTCTTTTGGAGCCAGAGAAATAGTATAGTGGGTAGGGCATTTGCCTTGCATTCAGCTGACCCAGGTTTGATCCCTGGCACCTCATATGGTCCCCTGAGCACCACCAGGAGTGATTTCTGAGATCCAGGAACAACCCCTGTTATTCTCTGGGTGTGACCCAAAAATCAAAATTAAAAAATAAAGAACAACAATCCACAAACCAAAATGCATCTCTTTCTTGGCTAGAGATCCCGTGTTGCCTTTTCTAGTTCAAGTTCACTGCTTATCGACTCTGAAAATGACTTTTCTACCAGCGTCTCAGTGATTCCCTCAAATATAAAATGTGCGAAAATCGTTTTTCACAAGCAACCAATTATTTGGTGGGTGGCTTAAACACTTACCTAGATGCTCCACTGTTAAAACAAATCAGCTAATATTAATTAACATCCTACTAAATCACTCCCACTTGGTGAGGTAGGTGGTCTGACTTGCTCTGAGGAAGGAGAATGAGCTGCTCCTTCACCACTTCCAATTTTCTTCAAAGCTGTTTCAAGTCCAGGAGCAAAAATCATCTCTCTCATCGTGGTTTCTGGGTCTCCTCCTGGTGTTTAGAATCTGGATTTTCTAAACTACTCATTAGGCAAAGGATATTAGCAGATGGACGGTAACAAGGTAGAGTAATTCTCTGGAATTCCCAGGCTGTTTCAGACTGAACAAAAATGCCGCATGCGTTTTCCTTTGGCATCTTTCATAATAAGCTACTATACAGCCCAAAATAAATAGCAAGCACACCAGTGGTAAGGGGAAAATGTTTAGTATACTCTCTGGCACTACAAACATCAAATTTGGCATTACCCCTGAAATTCCTGCAGATTGTTCATATTTCACTTGTAAATTTTTATAATAAGCACATCCCGTCGAATTTGTTAATGATGATCATTACCAAGTTATTACCTGATATGTTGATAATATAATTTTTCTCCTGTGGATAATGTGTCTATGTCTCCAAAGGAGGTCTGTTGGATGTGCTAAAACTTTACTCCATTGAAACATTCTCCGGTAGAGATGCCTTGTCATTCTGCTTCAGGTGAAGCTGAACAAGGCACATTTCCTCAGAACAAAAGCATTTTGTACACAACAAACTGGCTTATGAAAATGAAATAGCTGAAGGCCTTTATTTAAGGTGCTACTCCCAACAGTGAGGTTTGGCAGTAACTTCAGTCTGTGTCAGATGGATTCTAAGAGCTTTAGTCAGTGTGCAAATAATGTCTACAAAGCAAGGCCCCACCCAATTTGAAAGACTGGGCTTGTCAGAAGGAACTGCACATTTGACAGCATTTCTGCCAGGGCAGAGGCAGAAGCTAGAAAGACAATGACTTCAGCTTGGAGTGAGAAGTGTGCTAACAAACAAAAGTGGGCAACACGCTTCACTTAGGGTGGTACTTCTCTATCCTTAGCATGCATCAGAACCACTTGGAAGGCTTCCTAAACCTCGAATTTCTAATCCTGGATGCCTAGGGTGGGGCTCAATCATTTGCATTTCTCACCAGCTTTCAGCTTTCAGGTATGCCTCTGCTGTTCATCCAGGGACTACACTTTAAACATATTAAAGTTACTCAGGCGTTCTCCCTTAACAACCAACTCCATCAGCATACCAGGCAGATGCTGGGACTTCTATTTTCTCCAAGGAGATAAAGGAGGCCCAGGAGGGTTGGGGGGAAGAGAGGGCGGGGGAGACAGAATTG